ACAGAGATCCGCCTGGCTCTGCCTCCCGAGTGCTGGGATTAAAGGCATGCACTACCACTGTCTGGCTCAGTCCCCTTACTTTTTATTTTATGTATATGGGCATTTTTTTTTTGCATGTATGTCTGCATCACATGCATGCCTATGCATTGTGTGCAGGTCTGGTGTCCATGGAGACCAGAAAAGGGCATCAGATCCCCAGGGACTGAAGTTACAGACAGTTGTGAATTACCATCTGGATTCTAGGGATTGCATTCCAGGTCCTCTGGAAGGGGAGCCAGTGCTCTTAACTGCTGAGCTGGCCACCGTGCCATCTTCCCAGCTCCCATTTTTATGTGTACACACCTGTGTTTGTGTGGAGCAATGTGTATATCATTGCGTGTGGAGGCCAGAAGAGGGAGTTGGATCTCCTGGAGCTAGAGTTACAGGCAGCGCCCACCTGTGTCCTGGAAACCTAACCCCAGTCCTCTGCAAAAGCAGTTTGAGTTCTTAGCAGTTGAGACATCCTTCCAGCTCCTTATTGTTCATTGACTATGCTAGGGTCTTAACTTTGTACCTGGTAAGCCCATTATGTAGCCCACGCTGGTCTCAAACCCACAGCCATCTTCCTGCCTTCAATCTCCTGTGTGGGGAGATTTCTGGATTTTATTTTCTGTCCTATGGTCTGTATTCCTGGGCTAGAACGGAGCCGCCTCTGCACACTATAGGTTTTTATTCTTCTTTCAAGGTCTTTTCTTTTTTTGGTTCTTCTGCAACTCAGGAGCTCACATTTAGGAATGTACAACCCCTCCCCCAATTAAATATCCCCATTGCCTTCAACTCTAAGAACATGATTTCTGGGCTATTTATTACCCTTGCCCATTTCTACAAAGCGCATAACCTTAAAAGAAGAGACCTCTAAATGGGGATATTGGTGCAGAATTGGTAGTGACGGGATTCCTCCATAAGGCTGTTTGTAGGCAAGTGGAGGTCAGGAGGGGAACCCTAAGAGGAGGACTGACTGGAGTGGGCAGGAAGGACGGCCTTACCCAGAAGTCAGTCTGATCCTTGACCCTTCAGAAGGGATCCCGAGATGCTTGACTTTGCTTGGCTTGGGCTTCCAGAACCAGTCCCTAGATGTCTTAGCACTTCAAGACCGGTCCGTTTCTGGCAGGGCCTGCGAAACTTGGCTTTCTCTTTTCCCAGACTCCACCCACCCATAATCCCATCTTGATAGCTCCTTGGCCATGGTGACCCCATCCCCAGTGGCAGGTTGAGTTCTCTTCATCTGGATTCTCCTTCACTGGATATCTCTGCTCACTTTGCGCTCTCGTCCCCCCTCCTCCCTCAATGGACTCTTCCGCCCAAGTCTATGTGTTATTCTCCCCTCCCCTACTTCTCGGTTCTCCTGCGCTGTGTCTCTGTTGTCCCCCCCGCCCAGTCTTTGCTCTCTTCGCCCTCCCCGATGGTTCTGCTAACCTTTACGTTCATCTCTCCCCTCACCTTCCGTTCAGCGCGTCGTCTCCCCCGGCCGCGCTCGGCGGTTGGTTTGTTCCGCGCTAGCCCCGCCCCCGCACTCAGGCTTCCGGGGTGCGTTGACGTGGGCTCCAGGGCAGCGTCTGATGACGTGTTTTACGGGAGGCCTAGTGCGGAAGGGGCCGCGATCCGGGAAGGCGAAGTTCATTCCCAGTGTCCGCCCCCCTGAGCCGGCTCGGAGCCGTCCGCAGGAAGCGTCGCCTCCGCGCAGCGGCCCCTACGCGATGGACTCAGTGCCTGCCACTGTGCCTGCTGTCACCGCCTCCCCGGGCGACCCCGAGCTGCTGGGCCCCCTGTCGGTGCTCTACGCAGCCCTCATAGCCAAGCTACTGGAGGTGACAGTCCCCAGGGAGGGGCCGCGGCTGTGGCAGGCGGGTGGCAGTGCTGGGCAGAGTGGGTGCCCAGAGCGACAGCCCCGGAGAGGCGAGCCGGCTGCGGCCAGCGGGGCTGCGGTGTGGGACGCTCGGGTCGCTGGCTGGGTTTTCACAGAGCACTGTGGAGGTGACAGGCGCTGTTACGTGGTGGAGTCCTTTCCTTCCGGCACTGTCGGGGGTGGGGCCAGTATTCTAATTAGCAAGCAGTGAAAGTGTGGAGTGGGCCGGTGTGTAATAATACTGCCTTTAAGGAAACATCTAGAGCTAAGGCACTGAGTCGTGTAGATGACGTTTGACAGCATGATCCCTAAACCGGTTATCAAGAGCTGTCTGAACTTACTCAACACTTGTCTTTGTTTATGTAAAAATGGAGCCAATACTGGATTTATTTGCACCCACAAAAGTTGATTATATATTTAAAGCTTTCGTGTTGTGTACTTTTCAAAGTAATAAAACAACTTATTTAAAAGAATGGTCCAGGGAACGCCTAACTATATATGGACAGCACAATATGGCAGAGCCTATGAGAAATTGAAAATATATGCCCTACTTAAAGGTATTTAGACACTCTGCTTGGAAGCACTACAAGTCAAACAAACATGAGTCTGACAATATCTATCCTGTAATTCTCAAAGTGGGAGGTATTGAACGTGGTCGGGAGTACTTATCTGGTGGAGACTGGTTAGAATTTCTAGGAAGATTCTTTTTGAATGTTTTCTTGTAAAAAATTTTCAAGGTTTTCCATTATTTCTAATATGTCTGTTTCAGTTAATTGCCACGTTGCCTGATAATGTTCAGCCTGGCCCTGACTTTTATGGACTACCATGGCAGCCTGTGATCGCTACTGCAGTCTTGGGAATTGTTTCATTTGCAATTTTCTCCTGGAGAACTATGCTTGTTGTAAGTAAATTAAATTATCTTATCACATGACTCAAAAGTACATGGGGGCCCGGCAGTGGTGGCGCACGCCTTTAATCCCAGCACTTGGGAGGCAGAGCCAGGTGGATCTCTGTGAGTTCGAGGCCAGCCTGGTCTACAGAGCAAGATCCAGGACAGGCACCAAAACAACACAGAGAAACCCTGTCTCAAAAAAACAAACAAAAAAAAGTACACAGTTTATTTTGTATAAACTTGTCAAGTAATTTAGTGTAATCTTTATATTGATAAAGGCTTAAGAGAACAAGATAACATATTTATAAATTTAATGGGAAAACTGTTTTGATTTAAAAAACTCCTATACCATTAGGTAGATATATGTACACTATAAGTAGAACTGGAATTCTTAAAGCCATCCTTAAAAATATATTTAAAAATATAATATATTTCAAAATATGTATCAGAAGATTAAGAAATGAAGTTGGATGGATATTAAATATGCTCTTAAATAGTATGATATCTTGTGTAGTAATCTATCTGAAATAAAGAACCATTCATACATTAAAGATCTTATATAAGAATGTTCAATGAGACAGTCTTTATTTTTTATTAGTTATTAGGGTGTGTGTGTGTGTGTGTATGTGTGTGTGTGTGTTTTCTGCATGTGCCCCTGTACACATGCCATGAGCTGGTTCTCGTCTTCTCCCTATACCTGGATTCCAGGGATTGAACTCAGTATCTGACTTACATCATCAGGCAGCCGGTACCTCTGCCTGCTAAGCTCTCTTGTCAGCCCGGGAAGAGTGTTTATTAGAGGGGGACCTTGCAGCAGCCTAATACATATTCATATCCTGGACTATTTGATGACTACAAAGACAGTGAGGTGCAGCAAGATTGAGTGGAAGGGGACGAAGCACAAACCGCCCTGAAAGTGGAGTTCAACTGCACATGTAAACACATGCACACACAGTGCAAAGTAGCACGGTGATGCACGGCCAGCAGAGGTCATTTCAGTCGTTTTCATTGTGTGCTGTATGTGCATGCATGTGTGCATGGGAATGTGCATGGCTGGGGAGTCCAGAAGAGCCTGTCAGATCCACTGGAGCTGGAGTTCTAGGTGGTTGTGGGCCACCCAACATGAGCGCTGGCAACCAAACTCCTGTCCTCTGTAAGAGAAGCCGGTGCTCTTAATCCTGTAGCCATCTTTCAAGCCTTAGTCTTTTTCTTTGTATATGTTTCCCAAGTTTCTGGTTTGATCACATGCTGTGGTGCTCCAAAAATATCCTTTTGATTTGGAATTACAGAGTATAGGTGTCCAAAGACACATTATTACATTTTCATTCCTTTTTTTTTTTCATAAGCAGATTTTGTGTTTCCGATTACAATTCACCTTTGGAATTGTATCTCAATTTCAGGCCTTCCCTGAGATTCCTGGATTTTGCTTCTTCCTACATACCTGCTCTTGTTTGGGTGAAATGGGATAAGTGAAGCATATTCTTTGATTGACAAGGCTATAACATTAGAGAGATGGTTATTCATTTTCCTGTGTTGGAAGTTTTTCGTTTGTTTTGTTTTGTTTTAACTCCTAGAATCGGAGTTACAGTTTTGATCTGCCATGTTGGTGCTGGGAATTGAACCCAGGTCCTCTGGAAGAGCAGCTACTGTTCTTAACTATCTCTTCAGTCCCCAAATGCATTTTCTTTTCTTTTTTTTCTTTTTTCTTTTTTTGGTTTTTCAAGACAGGGTTTCTCTGTGTATCTTTGCGCCTTTCCTGGATCTCGCTTTGTAGACCAGGCTGGCCTTGAATTCACAAAGATCTGCCTGGCTTTGCCTCCTGAGTGCTGGGATTAAAGGCGTGTGCCACCACCGCCTGGGATGCATTTTCTTATAACAAGGTATTTATACATGTTTTATATTGATAAGATTGAAATTTCATGGATGACTTGTGGATGGGTCCAAGTAAAAATAGTAGCATTTGCGGGGCTGGAGAGATGATGTCTCAATGATTTAATACTTGCTGCTCTTGCAGAGGACCCAAGCTTGATTTCTAGCACGCATATGATGGTTCATAATCATCTATAACTCCAGTTCCAGGGTATCCAATGCCCACTTCTGGCTTCCACAGCCACTAGATATGCATGGGATACACATATATCTATGCAAGCAAAACACTCATACATATAAAATAAATAAACATAAAAATTTTTAATAGTAGCATTGGAAAGGAGAAATATATTTTGAGTCACAAAGAAATTTAGTGGGCCATCATGGTAGCTCAATGGATAAAGGTACCTGCAGCCAAGACTAACAACCTGAATTTTATCCCAGGACCCAACATGATTGAAGGAAAGAACCCACTCCGACAAGTTTTCCTCTGACCTCCATGTGTACATATGTATGCCCTGGCATGTGCACACCCATACATAAACACACAGATAAATATAATTTAAAAAAAAAAAAGAAAGAAACTTGGGCCAGGTGTTCTGGTATACACCTATAACTATAACCCCAGTACTCAGGAGGCAGAGCCAGGTGAGTACATGGTTAACCAGGTCTACATAGTGAGTTCCAGACTAGCCAGGGCTACAAAGTGAGACCATATCTCAAAAGAAAAATAGACGTAGTAAATCTTTCTGCACTAGTTACTGCCTCAGCTTTATTGCTCTAGATGGTTTTAGCTGTCAGCTCTCTTGTACATTTCCTCTGGAAATACATCCTTCCCAGGCCAGGTACCAGTGTACCCTTGTTAGTAGTCTTGGAAGTCATATGGTACTCTATCAGATTCCTAGTTTGTTTTTAATTTTTGTGTGTGTCCTTGATGTTTGTGTGCATGTGTTTGTATGTGAGTGTGCATTTGCAGAGCTCAAAGGCCAACCCCTGATATAGTCCCTAACCTTCCTTTTTTTGAGACCGGGTTTCTTTTTTAATAGTTCAGCACCACATCTAGCGAGTTGCTGGCTTGCAGGATTCTGGGAGACTCCTCCTCCTGCTTCCCATCTCACTGTAGGAGCATTGGGGTCACAGATATGCACTACCATTCCCACAGGCTCTGGGGATCTGAACTCGGGTCTTCACATTTGCTTTATCCACTGCCCCAATCCTATCAGATTATTTCAGAATTCAGCAGGCAGACATCATTGAATAGGATTGCTAGGATGTTTTCTGGTGAGTACATATCTAAAGACAAAGAGTTTCTCTTTTAATTTTTAATTTTGTTTCTTTGTCTTTTTGAATACTCATTTCTAGAGTTTACTCTAGCTATTGGGAGTTGTCAGATATCAAGTAAATAAATGATTAATATGTTTATTGCTGAGCTAGTAGCCACATGTGTTATTAAGCATCAGTGCTCATATCTTAAGATTGGTGCTCTTTTAATAGATGCACAAACATGCTTTTAGCTGCAAAACCAGATACATATCTTAGTGTTTTTATTTATTGAGGCTATTTATGAAATATTATTACCAATTTAATTTGAAACACCTTTTAGCTTTGTCTTTTTAACATTTTTTAAAGATTACATTTATTTATTTATTTAAAGATTTATTTTATTTATTATGTAAATAGTGTTCTTTCTGCAAGTTTGCCATAAGCCAGAAGAGGGTATCAGATTTCATTATAGATGGTTGTGAGCCACCATGTGGTTGCTGG